AACGATACTCTTCAAACATACCAGAAATCGTAGAACGCCAAGGACACGCCAACTCAAGAAGATGCATATTCATCTGAACAAAACTAATCTGCCGCACCTCACTATATACAGGAATACTTACGTTCACAAAAGCCGTTCAAGCACGCAATACTATTATTGCAAGTGATACAATCCAAATCGACTTTACACACCTGGTATACATTGCATACTGGACATGAACCTCCACAATCGATGTCCGTTTCATCGCCATTCATAATTCCGTCACTGCAGGTTTTATCTAGGAAGAGGGCAAAGACTCAAGAAACTCGGTGACTCAACAAATCATTATTTACCTTTACTGAGTGCATAGACCTCTGTGGCACCAAGTTCACGTGAGTAGACACGAAACTCATCTAAATAGCCAGAAAATGTGCCTGTTGCAATTGACTGTGAATTGCATTCACCACCACTTAGTGAGTTACCCAATGTCAGAGTAACCACTGCACTTGGTGCAGCATTGTTCTGTGCAGCTGTACTACCAACAGATACTCCATTAACATACAATGTAAGCCCATGTATTTGTGAATAGGTAGTGGCAATATACGCCCACGTGTTGGCCGGTAGAACAGGACCTGTTACCTGATTGTCTGGCGTCCAAACAGTAGCAATTATATTACCAGCAGATGAAAGTCCAATTGGGACAGTACACCATCCTTGTCCATTTGTTTGTGTTGAATAATGAACAAGAGTTCCACCACCTGTCGACGTTCGTTGTACCCATAGAGACATCGAAAATGAGCTGCTCATGATTCCAAGAAGGACATATCCGGATATCTAAATAATTATTATATAATGTATGAGCATATCATAATTTGGAATGTTTTTTAAGCTTTTTTATGCTACTTTCTTCACCAAACTGTTAGCGTCTGAGTGATAAAGTTGGTCCTTCTAGTCTAACTGGCTTAGGATAACTGCCCGGATAGCAAGAGGTGTGGATTCGAATCCCACGAAGGTCACTTTTTCTCCATTTTCTCTTTCTTTCATTTTCTTTCGCTAATGTCCCTTATATAGCTCTAATATGAGACCTAACACAAACAATCTGTAATCAGTTTACTAGAGAAACTTCCTATAGTTAATAGAATTTATTTCTTGTGAGATATCATCGCAGCAGTATTTTTCAAACATGCGTGCACATAGAAATTTGTTGTAAAATATACGATAATAGTTCTCGATTTACCTTCAAATCAAGGAAACGACATTTATTACTTTGCTTGCTCATCTTGACCACTCTTATGCATGACGCAGAATGTATTTTTGTATCTTAAATACATGTATTCAACCCTTAAAAGTCGGAAAGTCTTCCACTCACGACAAGAAGAAACCAATC